GCGAGACCTCATCTCTACAATAAGTCAAAAACTAGCCGGGCGTGGTAGCGCACACCTGTAATTCCGGCTACTCGGAAGGCTGAGGCGGAAGGATCGCCGGAGCCCAGCGGGGCGAGGCTGCGGGGGCCGGGAGCGGCCGCTGCCCTCCCGTCTGGGCGACAGAGAGAGACTCCGACTCAAAACAAAAACGTGACGCAAGGCAGGGACACGTGCTCGGGGAGGAGGGGCAGCCGCCTCCGCAGCGCCCCCGGCGGACACTCTCGGCCAGTCGGGCGACGCGCCGGGCGGCCGCGGGACCCGTTCCGCTCCCTCCCCCGAGCCGCCCGCGCCCCGAGGCCTCACGAGCCCACGCTGGAGCGCGCACACGCAACCTCAGCGGGATCGAGTCTCCCCTCGCCACCCGGAGCCCCCGTCCGTGGACGGCCCAGACCCGACCGCGCGCGGCACCAGCTGACCCGGGCGGTCGGGGAGATGAAAGCCCCCAACCTCCTTCCGCGGGCCCCCCAGGAGCCACCCCCTGCCACGACGAGGATGACGACGAGGCGGAGGAGGGATGAGGAAGAAGCCGCAGCCCTGGGTACCGGGGAAGCAAGTCCGGGCAGGACTCGGGAGCCGAGCGTGTCCCTGCGAGGTGCTGCTGGGGCGGGAGGCTGCCCCAAAGGCGCGCCTGCCAAGGGCCGAGGACTTTGAAAGGCTCTAACCCTGGTGAAAAAAAAGAAATGCGTGCTACATTTGACTTCGTTTTTGTTACAGCCTGTCCGATTTCTCATTTGTAGTTTATGTTTTGATTGAATATGGTACGGAAATGTTGATATGGTCAGTGCGATCGTTTTTAGGTTTTATGATCTCGGAGAGGCCATCTCCATTCCGTACAAAATTGACATACTTTATGATACTATTTGGGGTACTATAAGCACACATCAGTATTTAGCTCTTCATCTAAGATCCATAAGGAGCTTTCGGGGTCAAAGGACTACGGCCCAATAGCTACTACTTAGGAAAAGCCTGTTTTACTTCCTATTTAAACAAAAACTGTCATTTCTTTTGAACCATACGTTGCCAAAAATCCAAAGACACAATTATATTCTATCTCAGAAAGTGCAGTAAGCTTACCCGAGAGCTTTGGACGGTTTGTATTATATCAAATCTAGCAGCACTGAACTCAATTTATTTTATTCTTGCCTGCTACAATTACCATTTTGTAAGAAAAACAATTACAATCAGGTTAATATTCGAAATATTTTTTTGCCTGATGATGCCTAGATATTGACAATGTCAAATAAGACATCAAAAGGCAAATGTATTGCATTGACATTCACAAAGGAGCCCTGAGAAGAAATATGCTAGACAACATTTGAAAAAAAGGCTGGAGCAAAATGCAGAAAGAGTTATTTCCATTCAGTGGAAGCTGAGATCTATATATGTATTCTAATTAGACATCTGCTCCATTCTCATTTTTTACATGCCTAAGAAATTATCAGGCCATAAACTTCCCCCAATATTACGGACGAGATAAACGCCTCCTGCCAGACAACTTTCTGTCCTCCATAAATTATAACAGCCAGGTCTTTGAATGTATTCCTGAGATCTTAAGAAAGTAAGTGAAATCTCTAAGGGCAAGAGAAAAAACAAACAAACAGTGAAGTTAAACTACAAAAGCATAGAGTTTGCATTTCCCTGAGCAAACAATAACATTAGGAGTGGGGGATTGTGGACACCTCCTCAACTCTTGGACTCCCATATTTGGCCAAGTCTCTTCAGGAGGGCAAAGTGGTCCCAGGACAGCAGTGAGCTCGGCTGGCTGAAGCAATCACTTGTCTATACACGCCATTCTGCTGCCTTTACTCCCTCTCTCACTGCCTCTGGCTTACCTTTCAGTCTTTTTTTTTTTTTCTTTTTTGCTCTTTTTAATGAAGATTGAGAAAGGGTTGTGGGTTGAGAAGGTTCTATTTGTGTCTTTTAAATTCAGTCTCCTCCTTTATCTTTCAAAATACAGTCTACTTTCTCGAAATTGTTTCACCAAAATAACACCATGTCTTCGGGACATACATACTTTTGAATCAGTTAAGTTCCTTGGATCTTTTTTTTTTTCTTTTTTCATCTGCTTTTAAAAATTCACTTTATACACTATTAACCATATGATTTCTGGGAGTCTCATCTAGCCTACATGCAGGAGCATATCACACAGAACATTTTTTGTTTAACAAGCCCAAGGTTGCACAGCTATTTAAGATCAGAAAATATGGCTGCAATATGGCTCCACTGAATTTACTTTTAAAACTGAACAAGTATTTATTGAGCACCTAAAGTAAAGTAACATTTTTTTAAAAACAGGAACATTCAGATGAAAACTGAAATGTCCAGTCATTAAAATTATGTCTTTCCAAACTAAAACATCTGGATGGCTGACATTGATTTTCAATGTTGTTCTGAATGTTTAGTATTGCCTGGAAGTAGCCACCTTTCATATTTGCATTTACTTTATATTTTCCGCAAGAGAAAGCCAGGGAGTAGTCTATAATTCAGTTTGTAGAAGTTCTTTACTCAAATTCTGCTTAACTGAACTAATCAAAAATTTTCTTTCCTGTTTAAAACTCATCAGTGTCAGCTGCATTAATAGGCACACGCTGATGTGTACTGGTCGTTTCACCCCACCCATCGAGTTGTGCTAAGCAAGAATAAGTTGTGTTTATGCCACCATATTCATTGTATAATTGGCACATAGTTTGATTAAATGTTATGTAAACTGAAGAAATATGAGTGTGAAAAGAGGATTGTTATTGTCTCAACAACTCATTGACTACTTTGGAAAATCAATCATATCTCACATATAATTATTCTTTGAACAAGTAATAGGGAAGACAACTTTGGGGACAAAAATCATACAAGTCTGGGAAAATTTTGCTTTCAAAATGCATTGCAATGGAGTCAAATCCTTACTTGACTTATAAGGAAGCAGACACAGGAGATGGCAAATGCTGTCTGATAGGTAGGACTCATGGAAGAAACTGAAGAGAGAACTCCAGACAGCCAGACCCACGTGCTATTTCCCACTGGCCCTGGAAGAAACTGGTAACCGTTTCACCACCCCTCTGTCAGTAACCATAAGCTAAGACTGATTTGCCATCCTGAAGCCATGTTACCTGCTAGAGGGCAATGGCATGCCATCCCTAACACAGGGGGAGGAGACAAGAAATAAGATGAATTACATTGTTTTATTTTTCTTTTTTGAGAACCTGCCAAGTGCCAGACACTGCCAAATTTTTTGTGTCTCCAATCCCATTTAATCTTACAATTATGCTAGCATAGGAGTAGTGTTCTTGTTTTACTGATGATCTTTTTTTAATGCCAAGAGAAGACATGTAACATAGTCAGTGACCCCTAGCTAAGAAGGAGCAGGTCTGGAATTCAGCCTATGTATTCCCGTCTCGAGTCTGACTCTCTTTCCCTCCATTTCCTTAATAGTCAAATGCTAACTCTTATTATAAAATACCAATTCAGAACAAATTTAATCAACCCTTGAATGAGGTATAATGAATTTTAGATTCATCTATTAATTAATAAAAAAGTGTTTATAAATCAATTCAAAGAAATACTTTCCCATAGCATGCAGCTTCAAAATATATTTTCATCTGCAAAATTCACAGGAGTAATCTTACATATATACGTGATATACTTTTAAAGTTTCTAAAGTAAAAATTCTAAATAATGTAAACAACACAATGATTTTGAAGGCTAAAACCTTTCCCAGTGGGCCATTCCAATAAAAAGACAGTTTTTAAATAATCGTCTGCTATAGTACTGAATGCACAACCTTATTATATTTCCTGAGACTTTGTCCTCAAAAAAAAAGTATACATTTAAGAGGGATTTCAAAATAACTTCTCCATCTGACTAAAGAAACACCTGCTTTAGGACTTACATCTTGTCACTAGTTAAACTTGTCAACACTGATCTTCACTTTCCCCACTGGACTTGGTTCTTGCTACTCCCTGCTTGGACATGATTTTCCTTCTGTACTAACAAGGATTGGTTCATCCACTCATGCACTCATCCATCCACTCACTCACTTGTTCATTCAGCAAAACATTCGTTCAGCAAATATTTATTCTTCCTGTGTGTCTATCATGTTGTAGACATGGAGGATGCAATGATAAGGAAATCCTTCCCTTCATGGAACTTGACTTCTAATAAGGGAAATTAGCATTCATTCAGTAAAAAATATATAAATAACCCATGTTCAGAGTGTTCCAGAAATGCTAGTGCTCATCAATACCCATGTTTCACCTCTTCTTGGGCACAGTACTTGTCTGTATTTTCCAACCTCCTTGACACTGCAAGGCAAGGAGTAGGGATCATCAATTGCAAACTGACCAGCAGATTTGGGATACAATAAATTTAAATTATTTTCAAGCCTGGCATCCAAAACCATTCAGTGATCCATCCTGCCAATACCTCTTCTTCCTCATCTCCTGATTGGATACCGGGATCCAGGGAAGGCTTCCTAGAGGATGATGAAACCTCGAGGTAGAAAGAACCCAGGTCCCTAAAACACATGGAAGGCCATGTGCCGTTGGAGACTGGAATCCAGGGAAGGCTTGAAACCACCAGGTAGAAAGAACCCAGGTCCCTAAAACACACGGAAGGCCATGTACCAAACAACTGCAACATGAATGAGACATAAATTAGACATAAACATGTGTCTGTTAATCCAGTAAGATTTTGAACTTTTGTTTTCTCACAACACTATCCATGGCCTGATGTCTCATTTTCTTAGCCTTTTCGTATGGCAGCACCTTCCTTTGGTGATAGTTGCTACATATGTCAGGGTAATACAAAAGGCCAATGATAGGAAATCTAAGATACATGATGGCAAAACATTTGATAAATGTTTGCTGGGAGAACTTGGAAGGCACATGACATGCCTCCTAAGTATATAGAGCTACTTGAAAAGACTGAAAAACCAAACCTTAGTAGGGTGTGGTTACTGGTTTCATTTGGCAAAATCTTGTTAAGAGAGACAGAGAGAGAGAGAGAAAATTGACTACTGTGTAATTAGAGATGTGAAGGAATGTAGAGAATTCATTGAGGTCTCTGTATCACCCCCGTTGTTATCAGTGAGATTGGAATGTAGTAGCTTCTCCTACCGTCAGTGCTGGCCTACAGAGGATAGCCATCACTTAACTTCCTAATGATGCTGGTACCCCTCTCACCAGACCATTCCTTAACTCTTTAGTGAATGATATGATATTTCTTCGGGACCATGCTATGACATATAATCATCTGGCATGCTTTCTGGATTCATGTAGTTATTTCCATGCTGGGAACCCCACTTCTAAAATCCTTCATTTCCTAAGTCTACCATCTACTGTGAAAAGTCTAGTCATCACTTTTATCGTGTTTCAAGGAGTATCTTGTACTTCAAGTTCTCGTTTTCCCTTTCATATCTGTCATCTGTCTCCAATTTAACCACGCTATCTGTCTTAAGTTCCTTCAGACCAGGTTCGATTGTGAGTTTGTGATATCTGCAGGCACCTGGGGCTCAAGCTTGCTGCAT